CATTTCAATTTAAGATAAAAACTAAAGTTAATTATTATATTATTTATTTATTTTTTCGCTTATCAGCATAATCACAAATCAAATAACAAATTCATATTATAGATAAGAAATACTAATTTATACACTATAAAATTCAGTTGGAAAAATGCGCAGCAAATTATTCAAATACTTGTTTTTCTAACAAAACACATTAAAAGCACATTAATACATTTGGTATAAAATGCTTGGCTCGCTTTGATTCTCGCAAAGAGAATCATGTTGAACGAATGTTGGCCCTGGCTGCTGGCGATGGTCGCTCTGCTAGCTGCCAGCCCGGCTAAGGTAAGGCTCCTTCCACTCATTAGGCCTCTCTGCTAATCGATTTGCATTTCAGAATCGTCCTTTGACAATTAAAATCAAGAACTTTACCTGCGTGTCGATGCAGCCATCGCTCATGCCAGAATTCAACTGCAGCAACAGCAAAGTACGTGGTCAGGCCAGCATGTATGTGAGCCTCTTGGTGACTCAGCCAGTGGAGGAGCTCAGTCTCCTAATTGACTTTGACATTGTCAAGAAGGACAATTCCAGGATTAGCCTCATGCACGCCAAGCTCGACGGCTGCCAGCAGTTGACCTCTGCGTCCAAGAACAAACTTCTTGGCGAAGTTTTTGAGAGAATTTTCGAAAATAGCAATTTCCCAAAATCATGCCCATTCCTAGCCGTAAGTAGTGCATAAAGAATGTAATATTAATCTCTGTAATGCCGTTCTATTTGTAGAACAAGGTCTACACCATACGCAACTATACAATCACTCTGGACAGAATTCCCATGGCTCTGCCTACTCTGACATACAACTTCAAGCTCAAGCTATATCGGGCCAAACAGCTATTCGGCGATGTTTTCCTAGAGGCTTCGGCCAAGTATTGAAATGAGCCCCGGCTCAAGCATATGCTTAATATATATTCATATTTATATGTTGAATTATAAATGCTTATGGTATTAGCTTGTGTCTATTAAATCTAGAATACATTCATTGCAGTCTTGAATGCTGTGCACAGGGCCAAGAATATTTAGATATGAATATTTAAAGTTCATTTATCTCTGTAAGTTCTTAGTGTTCGCTGTGATGACATTTAGCCGAGCTGATCATCATATCAGGTGTTTTCTGTATATAAG